CTCCCTGAGCTCACCCCGGAGGTGGCACTGTGAGTTGGGGGGCCACAGAGGGCTAAGTCCTCTTCCCCTCTGCTGCCTCTGGCCATCGAATTCCTGATGGCAAGTTCTGCGCCTGTTTCTTTGGCCATGGGATGGGAGTTCAAGGCCAGGAGCTTTTAGGGTGGCTGAATTTGCAAGGATTATATTAAGAATTTGCGGATCTGCGCAGCCTGCTGAGAGGCCGTGAGGGATGGGCCGTGGAGACCACTTATTAGGTGGCGGTGGTATGGCCAGGATTTGGCAATCAAGGCTCATTACGACATGGGAACCATATGGGAGGGAGGGGTTTTACTCCAGACTTCCTAGAGTCAGAGGTGGATCTGGGAGTCTATGCCTAGCTCATGATCTTCCCGAGGTCTCGACCATCTCTGTTTCTGGGCCAATTTACAGAATCAGGGCACTAAGCAAATCCCTGGAGGCCCTTGAGATTGGGAGTAGGGGGATACCTCCTGCCCATTAGGTTGCCTCTAAGCAGGAGGGGGCATCAAAGAAATTAAAGGGAGAGGCAGAGCACATGGTCATTTATTCAGGCTTCCTGTGTGGATTAATGAACATTAATAAGATCCATGAGGATTAAGTGCACCGCTGGAGAAACCATGAGAAACCAGACTGACCTGATCTCTGGGTCCAGTTCTCACGGCTGGTGCAGAAATTAAGCGCATCAGCCTTTGGGTGATGGTAGCAGGGAAGTCACGGGACTTGGTTAGGAACTTTTCCTGGAGGAGACTGCGGGTAGCCAGGTGGAGCAGAAGAGCCCTCCAGGGCAGGGGGGAGGGACCGGCACTGTGAGGTTTGAGATGGTGTCTCTGTTCCCAGCATTGCTTAAGCCCTAGTTCTTCAGTTTCTGCCTCTACAGAAGAGGCTAGTGATAGGACCTAAGGTGCAGGGTTGATGGTGGACCCACTTTAAGCACTTTGTGCCTGAATAGTACATACAAACGAGTGTCTAAAATACTGTGATAAGAACTTTGTGATGAGAAGGTCCTGCGGGGTGGTCTCTGAGGGGGCAGAAAAGGCAGGAAGCTCAGGGACAGCCCCAGAGGTTCGTTCTGTCTGTCTGGGACAGCAAGTGTGTAGGCTCAGACCTCAGAACTCCAGCAATGGCTGCCCCTGGGGTTCAGGCTGAGCTGGCTTTCCCTTCTAGGCCCTTCTCTCAGGGCCAGGCGAAGCCAAGACTCCTGGGATTCCAAAGCCGACAACTGCGCCCACTTAGTTCTGACCCTTGAGGGCATGGGAATGGAGGCCCCTAGAGACTGGCTCTCGCCACGCCTCCCCGCCTCTGCTCCAGTGTTCTTTGCTGCGGCTGTGCCTGGCTCTCCTGAGGCCTTTAGGCCCAATGGAAGGGGAAGGAGGGGAAAGTGGGTGAATGGGAGTGATGTCAAAGCTGCCCTCACCCTGCTCTGACCCCTTCCTTAGGGGTCCTAGAGGTCAGGGCTTCAGTAACCTGGTCCCTTCCCCAGAGGAAGAAGGAGCTGGAACCAGCCAAAACAACACTGTCCAGAACTGTGGACATTTCTGTGAGGGAAACATTCCTTGAACCCCACATGTCCTCCTTGCCTCTAGCCCTCCCAACTCTCCAGCAGCCTCCCAACTAGTCTCTTCCACTTAGCCTCCACCCTTGCCTAGAATTGACCATAATGTTACCTGGTTTAAATCTTTTCCATGCTCCCCCACTGTCTTCCAGGTGAGGCTTATGTTCTCCCCCATCCAGGCCTCGACCCCTCCTCCATTTCCACTCCTTTCCCTCATGCCCTCCGTTGCCCAGGCATATCTAATTATTTGAGTTTCTCTGTGACCGCTTGTCTTCGTCCATGCTATTCCTACTGCCTGGAGCACCCTCACATGCGGGTCCCTACTGAGATAGAAGAAGATAGGCAGTGGAGAGTAGGGAAGGGATGGTAAAGGTCGACGGGAGGGCAGACATGAGAACAGCCATTTTAACATGCTCCAACATGTACTTCCGGCCTGCGCTCTCGAATGTGGAACAATTGAAATATCAAGAACCCATCAAGATAAATAGACTGTGGGAGATACATATAATATTACTCAGCCTTAAAGAAGAATGAAATGATAGCATTTGCTGGTAAATGGATGGAATTGGAGAACGTCACGCTAAGTGAAATAAGCCAATCCCCAAAGAACCAAAGGCCAAATGTTTTCTCTGATATGTGGATGATAATTCACAATAAGGTGACGGTGGTGGGGAAGAATAGAGGACTAGATAGAGGGGAGCGAAGGGAGGGGAAGGAGCATACGGGTAGGAAGGATAGCTGAATTGGACCTCATGACCCTATGTGCATATATGATTACATGACCTGTGTGACTTTACATCATGTACAACCAGATGAACGGGAAGTTACACTGCATTTATGTATGATGTGTCAAAAATGCATCCTCCTTTGTCATGTATCACTAATTAGAACAACAACAGCAAAAGAACCGATCAGGAAGAGCTCATCAACTTCACATGTGCCTTCCAAAGGAGGAGCTGTAAGACTTAGATGGTGATCCTCCCTCTCCCAGGTGCACTGTATTTAGTTCTGAGTATTTCTTTCACCTTCCTTTAAAATAAAATTCCTGCTCACTCGCTTCCCTTGTTTGCAGTGTTCATTCTTTGATTCTGGGGAACATGAACTTGATCCTGACTCCTTCCGGAAGATTCCCAGTCTTTCGGATGTTTGCTCAGATGTCACTTTTCCCAGCAATCTGCTCGCTCGCTGCCCCTGGGTTAGGTGTACCTGTGTGTGCTCAGTGGCTCAGGTACTGCCTGTGGTCCATTGCTGCTGTTATTTATATATTTATTTTTAATTGTGGTTAAAACATAAAATTTGCCATCTTAAAAATTTTAATTGCACCAGGTACAAAATTATAGGCTCCTGCCTATAATCCCAGTAGTTAGGGAAGCTGAGGCAGGAGGATCCCAAGTTCAAAGCCAGCCTCAGCAATTTAGCAAGTCCCTAAGCAACTGAGTGAGACCCTATCTCAAAATTAAAAAAAAAAAAATAAGAGGGGCTGGGGATGTGGCTCAGTGGTTAAGCCTCCTATTCCCCACCCCAGGCTTCAATCCCTGGTACCAAAAAAAAAAAAAAAATCACATTCCAATGATATTGAGTATATTCACATTGTTGTGCAACAGATCTCCATATCCTTTCATTTTGCAAGACTGAAATTCTATACCCATCAAACAACTCCTTTTTCTTTATACTGCTCCCATTAGATTGTGAGCCCCTTGAGGGCAGGTGGCCAGGTCTCACTTATATCCCAGCACCTAGCAGCACACCACACAACAGATATATACTGAGCACCTCCCAGGTGCAGTGGCATTGTCCTAGACACTCTCCTAGACACTGGAGACCCAACAGGGGACCCACACAAATCCCCGTCCTTAAGGAGTTCACATTCAGGCTGGGGAACGACAAACAAATAAAATTGGGACATGTTAGTGATCTGTGCTAAGGGTCAGATAAAAAGGTTTGAAAGTGCAAGGTTGGCTAGTTTCACCCTCAGACAGAAGAGAGGAGAGATTTGCACTAAGCAGCAGACATGGGAGGTGAGCTGTGAAGGAAGAGAGGAAGCGCTGTGGCTCTTTGGGGAACTGAACATGCAAAAGCCCTGAGGCAGGAGATTGTCCTGCTTGAGGAACAGCCAAGATGTGGTTGGAGTGGGTGATCAAGGAGAGGTGAGGACAGAAAAGCACTTGTGGGGTGGAGGCAGTGGAGGCTGGGTGGGGCAGATCTTGTAGGCCTTGCATAAATAAGAGGCCTTTGTAGGCTTTATCTAGCTTAGATTTTGACAGGATCCCCCTGGCTACTGGGCTAAGAAGAGACTATGAGGGTGGGTGGCAAATGGACATCTCCCACTCTCTGCCGAGCATGGAGTCTGGTCAGCTGGCCTCCAACAGCTAGCACTTTCAAGTCTGCTTCTGCTGTCCAGGTGGCCCAGTGCTTCTTGGGCTGAGCTTGGGCAATAATGGAGCCCTGGGGTGGTTGAGGGCCCAGCCATTTCTGCCTAGTGCAGGATGCCTCATGGCCAGTCTTAGCTTCAGAGCTCCTGTGGTGGATCTTGTGGCTCTATGCTCTCCCTTTTCCATCTGCAGGGGTAACTCCCCAGCACTCTCTCTGCACTCCCTACCTCTTCTCAGAGTCTGCCTCCCAGAGTCGGGGCAGGCAGCAGAAAGACGGAAGCCACAATCCAGGTGAGAGGTGACAGGGTGTCTAAGTCAGGTGGGTCCCTATAACACAGTTCCAGAGCCTGGGCAGCTTGAACAAAGCCACTTCTTTCCCACAGATCTGGAGACTGGAAATCTGAGATCGGGTACCAGCATGGTCGGGTTCTTGGTGAGGCTCCTTTTCATGGTTTGCAGATGTTGACCTTCTCATTGGATCCTCTCTCGTGATAAGGGCACTAAACTCGCTCAAGGGGGCTCCACCTTCATGACCTGATCATCTCCCAAAGTTCCTACTGCTTAATACATTACACTGGAGGACAGGATTTCAACAAATGGCATTGGGGGAGAGGCACGAGTTTGGTCCATACAAGGGATTTTGACAGGGTGAATGCAGACAAAACGATCTCCTGTTTACCTTGGGCTGCAGGGTGGCTGTGACTGTGTGCAGTAGATGTGGACTTACAGACTACGTGCCGTCTCCATCCATCATATGCACAATGTAGGAGACTTGCAGTGAATCCTGGTATGGTGGGGGACAGGGAGGTAGAGGTGTATTCTCAGAAGACAACACCAAAAGGGACATGAGAGCCACCTTGTGGTGACAGCGAGTCCCTTGTGGGGATTCTGGTGAAACAGTAGCCCCACACGTGCTGGATGAAGTCAGTGAGCGGCTTTGGCTTTCAGGCCAAAGATGGGATGTGCAGAGCTGGAATGTTCCTTCCTTTGTGGTCTTGGCCTGCATCCTGGAGAAATGTGGCCAGGACTGCAAGTTCAGCCCATGTCGAGCCCTCAGGTCCTACTCAGAGGGCCAATTATGTTTTCTGGTTGCTTTGGCTTCCAGGCCACCCTTGACCAGGCAGCTGGAACCACCCAGGAAGATACTGGAATTCATAGCAGCACGTAGGCGAAAAAGATCACGCCTCTCAGAGACTTTATGACCCTCTAGTCCTGACCTACCGTGTAGCCTGAGCATCAGGCAGAGATGTTCCTGAGCACTGGCACACACCGGTATTTATGGGACACATCATGCTTATGCTTCACCTACAGTGTCTCCTTTGATCCCTATAACAATTCTACTGGTATGCACTGTCCCAAGTGCTGTGTTGAGTAAAGTTCCCCTGCCCCTGAGAGCTACTCTCCACCCCGCTGTGCCTGGGAGCTTGACTTGTATTGGCTGTTTCACAGGCTCCCTTCCCCTCTGATTTCTCCTGGGTCAGTGGGAGCCACTGGCAGGCAAACAGGAGGTGGGAGAGCAGGAGGGATTTGTCTGGTTGCTGTCGTGGGATGCATCTCTTAGCTGTTGGCTGATGTTACCCTGCTGCTAGCCCCAAGGTACTGCAGTATCCCTTGTGGGTTCCCTTAATCATGTCCACACCTTTGAAAACAGTCTTTCTTGGAAATTCTTTAAAGCTACTCGGTTTGAATGGACCATCTGTTTTCTGCTGGGACCCAGTTCCTTTTTGTATGGATGCCAAGACTGAGGTCCTGAGAGCTCAGTCCAAGGTTAGTTAGGGCGGTGAACCTGTGCTTGTGAAGCGGTTAACGATCAGTTCTGGGAGTGTGGTGAACAGTGTAGCCCAGCCCTGGGCCCTTTAAACTCAGCTGGCTCATCCACCTGCCAGGGCCACATGGGACAGCAAAGGTGAGCCACAGCCTATCTCCACAGTGCCCTGGCCTCTGCTTGCACTAGCTCTGGCTTTTCTGGCTCCTGAGCTTGGCCTTGATGGTCACTAAATGTTCCTCTGGGGTGGTTTATCCTTGTACCCCCTTTTGCTTCCCATTCTGGTCTGGCCTGGGATATTGGTGTCCTCTGAATGCCCGGCCGGTCAGTCAATGCTGGAAGTGGGGCTGTGAGCCATTGTAACGGGGGGCAGGGCTGGTGAGTTTTTTCTGTGTCCCTCGGGCTCTGGTCCTACTCCCCTATGCAGTCTCAGAGTCCTGGTAAGGTCTGGTGAGGGGAAAATGGAAGGGGCTGAATGAACTGCTGGGCGAGGCTTGGACTGCATGCAGGCTACGTGGCCTGTTATGAGAGTGTGAACAGCAGGGATTGTGTGTACTCAGGGTGGGGACGCAGGTTGTGATGGCAGTGATTGGGTGACAAGGGAGGAGGGAGTGTGGTTCGCCTAATGAAAAGTGCAGTGATTGTGTGTCTTCAGGGCAGAGTCTAATTCGGAAGGTTAGAGGAGCGGTTGTAGAGGGAGGACAGCGCCCTCTTGTGTCCACGGCTAGAATACCAACATGTGTATCAGGTTCCCTGGCTCCAGCCTGTCAACCCCAGCTCTGCCTGACCCCAGCCATCTCCACCCTAGTTTCACCCACCAGCCACCCGGCTCTTCCCTGCTGTCAGGGAGCTGTGAGTGGCAGTACCAAGCATGGAGCCAATCTGTATAAAATACAGCTTTATTGATTTCAAGGAGCTGCCTTGCAGGTGTTCCTACTGGCACATCCACCTGAGTTCCTGGGGACAGAGGGCACCAGGCTGAACACCTGGGGAGGGAGGAAGACAAGAGCACCGCCGACTGAGGCTGGAGGAAGGTTTAGGGGCAGGGGGCTGCTGCCGAGGGAGGAGGGTCCCTGGGTGTCTAGAACTGTTGCCTCTTCCCACACCCCCTGCAGACTTCCGGTGCTGGAGGAGACCTTCCCACCTGTGGAGCCTGGTGCACCCAGCCTGGGGCAAACATCTCTCCTCTGGCGGCACCCAGGCCACCATCTCTCCTCTGGGGAAGCATGCCTCACCCCTCTAGTGCTATTCCCTTAGGGAAGCCTGGCTTGACTGTCCCCTTAGGGGTCACGAAGGAGCCCTGCATGCTTATATTAGGTTCATTTGCTTGTTTAAATGTCTGCCTCCTCCGTGGGGGTGTGCAGTGTGAGCTACATCCAGGTGGACAGCACAGTACCCAGCAGCAAAAATAACTGCCCCAAATGAAACTGGAGAGCTTGGTGAGTTCAAAGTGGGAGTTCCCAGCACCTACAGGACCTCTTCACCATGCAGCCCCTCTCACCCCGCCCCCCAGACGTGGTCAGACGGGGGTCAGTTTGGGTGCTGAAGCCTGCAGCGTGTCATCGTCTGGGTTGGGACCCAGCTCTCCGGCCTCCACCAACTTGTGGTGGCAGCGGCAGGTGGAGGCCCGGCTGCTGGAGGATGGGAGGCTCCTTGTGGGTTTGTCCTTGTGCAGGCCTCGCAGGATCCTGTGGAAGATGAGGTAGCAGATCTCACAGATGGTGAGTACGATGCAGACGGCGGAGGCGCCCACCATGAAGTAGGTGAAGACCTTCTTCTCGGTGGGCCGAGCGATGTAGCAGTCCACGGTGTTGGGGCAGGGCGACACGCTGACACACTGCACCAGGCGCGGCATGCCGAAGCCATGCCAGAGCGTGTGCAGCACGTACAGGAAGAGGAACTCGATGATGAGCTTGAAGATGAGGCTGAACAGGTAGGTCCACCACAGGCCCCCGTGCTTCTTGCCGGTGTTGCTGTACAGCTTGGCACACTGGTCCCCGTGCTTCTGGCGGTGGCGCCGCTCCCGCTCCTCCCGGTACGCGACGTGCAGGATGACCAGCAGCGAGGGGCAGGTGACGAAGATGAGCTGCAGGGCCCACAGGCGGATGTTGGAGATGGGAAAGAAGTAGTCATAGCACACGTTGGTGCAGCCGGGCTGCTTGGTGTTGCAGTCAAAGTCCTTCTGCTCGTCACCCCAGACGCGCTCTGCGGCCACCACGTACACCAGCACCCGGAAGACGAATACCACCGACAGCCAGATGCGCCCAAATGCTGTGGAGTACTTGTTCACGCCACTCAGGAGGCCCTGGAGCGTCTTCCAGTCCATGGTGCCTGGTGGGGACAAGGGGGACCGTGCCCACCTGAGGGAATGATTGGAAAAATTGTCATGTTAATGAATCAGTCACATTTATTGAACATTTACTAGGTGCCAGGAATTGTTCTGCAGTCTTTATGTAGACAGACAAGTTCAATCATCACAGTGTTCCTTTGAGATTGGGACTATTATTCCTCCCATATTATTCCTCCCTTTCCAATAGGAAACTGAGATACAATGAGAAGTAACCTGCTCACAGTCAGAGCTAGTAAGCTAGCAGAAGGGAATGTGTGCTTGTTGCCAACAGTGACCATTCACTGAGCATTTACTATGAGCCACGTATGAAGCTAACCGCCCTGTGTGCAGAAGCTCACTTAATCCTATAATGACCCCACGGGGCAGATAGACTCTGCTCCCCATTTACAGATGAAAAGCTGATAATCAAATGACATAAAATTGCCAGGCACACTCTACATGGTAAATGTTCATGAAATGCCAGCTATTTATTACTGTGAAGTGCCTAGAGGTCAAGTCCCTCACTTAAGCCTGACTCAAGGCCAGGCTGTCCTGCTAGGGCCTGTGCTCTCCACCTTTCCCCTCCCTCTGTGCTGCACACCTGCCTGTCACCTTGTCCATGCCTTCACATCAGCCTGTGAAGTTGGGGTTTATGAGCCCCAATCTCTAGAGAGGAAACGAAGTCTGGGAGAGGAGCCAGAGCCTCTGAGGTCTACTGGCCAGTGGTTAGTGACGATGGGAACCATTTTGGGTTGAGTGCACATGGAGGGTTATGGCTTTGCTCCTGGAAGGTCACCAGGGCTTCGTGGTGAGGAGGTGTGCTTTGGTCTGTCCTTAAATCACACATCCTTCTCCCAGCCCTGGAGTGACTCACAGGGTGTGGCTGGGTGAGTCACTGAGTGTACCTTGTATCATGGTGCGCTGCCATGGGTGTGAGAGCAGACACCTCTTCAGGTGCTTGTGTGGACCTGCGTGCACATGTGAGCGCCCTGGAGCTGGGCCTGTGCTCTGAGCCACCGTCACTCTTATTTATCTATATCACTGCCTTGGCCGCCTCACTGGCCTTGAGGCTACTGCTTGTGCACCTCTGAGTCCATTCAGTCATGCTCATGCTACCTGCTTAGAACCCCCACTAGCTTCTCACTGTTTAGAACTGAACCCCGGATTCGACATCTTCACTGTCTTCTCCCACTCGCTTGCTCTGCCTCTCCCTGCTCCCGCTGTACTGAGGCCTCTGGCCTTTACATTGATTCCTCTGCTCGGAATGCTCTTCCTCTAGAACCCCACATAGCTGGACCCTTCTCATTTACCTCTGCTCAAACATTAGGACCTCTTAGGACTACCCTGGATCTGAACCTGTCTCCATTCTCTCTGCTCCTGCCCCCTTTCTTTTCTTCACAGTTCTTAATCACCACTTGAAATTCAAGTATTTATCATTTTTTTGGTTCATATTTATTGTCTGGTGTCCCAATTAAAATGTCAACTCCATTTTGTTCAGGGCTTCATGGTTAGTGCCTAGTGCCTGGCATACAGTAGGCACTCACTAAATGCTCTGTGGGCAAACAAGTGAATGCTGAGTTCTCAGAGAGGGGGTGGGAAGGCTCAGCAGGAGCTGCAAGGGCCTGGACAGGAGAGAGGGAGGGTGCGGACCCCTTCCCTACATCACCCTCCTGACGGCCTGCCCCTTGGAAGCACAATCTCCTACAGCTGGGGTGACTGGGAAGACCTCAAGTCTGGAGACCCTCCTCTGTGCCCCACTCCCATCGCCCCAAGCCCGGCCTTTGGGGAGGACTGTGAACCATGCAGTGACCATAAAGTCGTGCCTGCAGTCAGACCTCAGCTCTGCCATTTACTAGCTGAAAGCCGCCCAAGAATTCTCTAATGTAACTGGCCGTTTCTTTACCTCCAAAGGGAAACAAGTCCTATTTTCTTGGACTATTGTAAGAATCCCAAGAGAAGGTTCCCTCCCCTGATCGCCACTCACCTGGGGACAGTTCAGGGGGCTGAGGTGGAGAGGGGAGCATCATCTGCTAGCCCGGGAGAAGAGGAGCCCCAAGAGCTGCTTCCACCTGAAGCCCTCCACCGCTGCCCCCTGGGCCCCCACCTTCACCTTCCAGGTGCTCAGGCCCAGTCCCGCCTGCCAGACACACCCGAGGGAGGCGACTCATGGGGAAAGAATTTCCCTCTCAGACCGCGCTGTGGACTGGCGGATCCGGTTCTGGACCCCTGCAGTCCCCCACCACTAGCTCCCAGCACAGTCTACCGAGTGCCTACTGATCCCAGCTCCGGGGATGGGACGGCGTCCAGCTTTTGCTGGCCACCCCTACGATGCCCTCCAAAGACAGAAGCCCCTTCCCTTCCCACCCGTTTCCCCTCATTCCGAGCAGCTCGGGAGCTTGTGGTTCTGGGGTGGTGGTGGTGTCGGTCCAGGAACCTTCCAGTAGCTGGAAGGGTCACCCCGCCAAGAACCGAGGGTCGAGCAGGCGGAGGCAGGTTGGGGTGTCTCTCCCTCTGCCGCCTGTTCGCTTCCTGCCCCCAGCCCCGCCGCAGGGGAGCGCACGGGAGCACTCGCACCCCCGGGGACCGCCCCTGTCCCGCTCTTACCGTCAGCAGCACGGCCACCTTGGGGCCTGGCCCCGCGTCCCCGAGGCCCGCAGCAGAGGAGGCCCGAGGGAGGCCCAGCGCAGCTCTGAGGCACGCGGCGGGCTGACCCGGG